GAATGTTACAATACCTGACTCTTTTGGTTGGAAATAATGATGTAACGTGTTCCTTCCTGAAAGTGGCGGTACAGGTAGCTTTTCCAATAATTTGAAGTCTGCTGCTGACAAGGAAACCTTTTTTTTCACTAAATGATCTTCACTATCACTTTCTAAGTACTTTGGATTCGGTCTTCTTTTCCGTCGTGTTCCTGCGTCGGAATTGATGTCTGTCTCCTCTTCTGCCCTCTTAAATTTCAGGCGTGCCTCATCAAATGTTCCTAAAAAGTAGATCAGATCAAACTTATTACAGATTGTCAAAAGCAATACAATGAGTCATGGCAGATTGGTCAAACAGCTGTCGCTTGACCATATCTTTGTAAGCAGAAAATAGCATTAATAGTCATGAGAATAAGCTTGCTAATATATGACTCACTGAATTTTCCAATGATCTCCAGGATCACTTTGTCTTCCCATGATTCTGCTGGGTTCCTTGCTCTGCGGACTTCCTTGTAATGATCTGAATCATTTTTCATACCTGGCCATTTGCAGTGCCATACACCTTGGTCGCTTTGGCTCAGCCAGTTACGATGGACAATGTTAAAACCGTCTTTAAAATCAACCAGCCAAAACTCAGGGTCCATTCTTGGGGAAAGAGAAACATGTATAACTAAGGTTAAACTAAAAATGAGCAAGAGTTAATATGAATCATATATCAGTATTTTTAGATATAAAAAGTGGAACCTACTTTCTACAATAAAAAACGATAAAAAGACAATTAAGAAAAAGAGATGAAGTGTAAGTTGTTATAACAAAAAAACCAGTAAACACTCGCAGCAAGGAAATGAATCTCAAAATTATAACCTGCACATAAGTCATGAATCGATAATTTATGACGTTAACTTACATGCACATATGATTTTAGTGCTTAATGAACGTATCACAATAACTTAATAAGTGTATAATAGCATAGTATTACCTACAATATTATTATAAACTTACCCCGAATAGCTTGGCTTGTAAAGAATCTTGGTAAAATGGAATGGAAGCAAGAACATTCCGCGGGAAAGCCGTTGCGTGCAGCGTGCGTCGACCCAGACGGCACAATGACCATGTTCAGCAGACTGAGCAGATCAGTGAGCGCTTAGTGATTTTTCAATATGATTGGTTTCTATACTTAGATCAAGCAAAGATATAAAGCAAGATTCAATCATATTAAAGAATCACTAAGCGATCTTTGATCTGCTCAGTCTGCTGAACGTGGCCAATGATATATTTAAGATGTGTTGAAGATATCTCACAAAGACTTTGAATGTGCAAAAGATAAAAATGGTATTTGAGTGATGTGTAACTGTGATATTGTGCCGTCTGAGAAATGATTTTTATATCTCGCGCAAAATATATTGTGCAAAGATTTGTGATTAATAAATATTTCAAAAATATTATAAGAATATCATGAGAGTGTAATACACTGCGTTCAAATTTCCTATACATTAAGCGATGTCTTTGAGATATACTTAAAAGAAAACAGTACTAATATTCTTAGAAGAATATCTGTGTGA